CCAACGACAAGCGACTCCCGCAGACGACATGGCAGCGCGAAAGTGGGAAGATGAGGAGCAGGGGAAGGAGGGATCGGGAAGGGCGGGGTGGGGGGAGGCCATGTCGGGATTTGGGACCAGGTATACGCTGCGTGATGGTGCTAGCCGTGGCTAGGTGCCAGCATGTCCACCCCAGGCTGCCCTCCAGACTGCCCCCCAACTCCCCTTCGGTCCCGTCCCACACCCACCCCTCTGCGAGGCACCGGCGATGTCAACGCACCACCGGACAGGGCGGGCAGCCACCCACGTTTCTTGCCGCCCGGTTGGCCTCGTAGCGGTTCCAGACGCACGCGTGGCAGCGGCTGCAGTCCGCCCAGAGCTTGCACCCGCGGCTCTTGCGCACGAACTTGCAGGCGGCCTCGCACGCGTAGGGGTGGCCCACGGACCCGACGCTGAGCACCCCCCCGAGCTCCTGCGGCATGCCCGTGCGCTCCGGCGGTGGGCACCTCTGCTTCGCCATGGCGGTCTTGGGCTCTTGGACACCCGCGCGGCCGCGCAGCGCCGCGCCGGCCGCATGCGCCGGCGGGAGCGGCGGCGGCGGCGGCGGCGGCTCCACACGGGGCTCCCCGAACGGCATCTGCTGGGGCTTCTCGGGCACGCCCTGCGACCACGCCCATGGCGCGCGCGGCGCCAACGCGCGGGCCTCCAGGGACGGCATGCGGATGTGGGCGTGGGGCGTGTCCGGGACGGCCCCCGCCTGGCCGGCAGGGGCCAGCACCTGCTGCCCGAAGGGAATGCCCTGCGGCCACGCCAGCGGCGCGCACGGCGCCAGCGTGCGATCCTCAGGGGACGGCGTGCGGAAGCGCGCCCAAGCCACGTCCAGGCGGTCGAAGTCCTGGCCCGAGGGATTGCCGGCCCCCACGATCTCACAGGCGTGGACGGTGCCTGCTGCGCGCTCGGCCTGGTGGGTGCTGATGTCGGAGGCGTCCGCGTCGAGGATCTCAGAGGCCTCTGTCATTTCATAGCTGGACCAACTGGCCACACCGTAGCGTGCCACATCGTCAGGGTCTCGCGTGGGCGAGGGGTCCGGGGTGCGCCAGCCGCGGTTGAGCCCTGGCACGGCGCGCTCCCGCACGCTCAGGACAAGCTGGCACGGCATCGCCGAGCAGGGCGTGGCCGAAGGCAGAGTTGAAGGGCTCTAGTTTTCTGGGCAGCTTGCAAAATCTGGAGGTGCCAGCCCTGGGAGCTCGAAGACTTGAGCCCAAAGAAACTCTTCCGACACGTTTCTTTGAAGGGGCCCTGGGACACGCAAACAAACAGACACAAATAACAGGATCCCCCATATTCTCCCATATTTTCTTTGCTTTTGTCTTCCCCCCCACACTTCCCATATTTTCCCATATTTTCGGGGGAATCGACGATTAATTGTGTCTGTGTGCTTTTTTCCCTCCTGAACGTTTTTTGAAGCTCAAAGAGACCCCCCCAGCGCTGCAAAAACGGCGGGCGGACCGTGGCGGGCGCACGCTCGGCGCGGCGGGTGTCTCGCGGGTCTCTGGGCCGCCCTGTACATTTCGGGCTCTGCTGGAAGCTTGCCCAGACATGCGACGTCCTGATTTTTTCCATACAGGGCCTTTGGAAGTCCCGACCCTTTCCCCGGGGCCGGCTTTTCGTCCTGAGTCGTTTGTTGACGGTCCCGAGGCCCAGCGAAGGCCCCCTGAGGCCGAAAGCGGGGAAAAACCTCCCGTCCTGACTTCTTTTACGACGCGAGCATGTCTGGGCGTCGGACTGCGTCACGGCTGTCTTGGGGTCTCGGGGGGGCTCTCTGGAGCTTCCTTCTAGAGTCTCGGGGGCTCCGGGGCCTTCCAGGGCTACGGCGTGCATAGGATCCGAGCCGCGGGCGCGCACGGACTCTCTGACGCTTGACACATGCCTTGCTGCTTTCAGCTGGACGTAGAGGGGGGCCCGTCAACTCGTGGAGGAGGCGCGCAGGGCAGTTAAACGCACATCGAAATTTGGAATACGGGCCCGCAAAAGGTAGGACGAGGTCGCCGTGGCTGGAACGACCGAAGGTAAGCTGCCCAGATCTGCCAAAAGTTGAAGGGCTGGCCCCAGCCACTGTTCCCAGCTTCCGTGTAACATCCCGACCAAAGTACACGTCGGTCGGAAGAAATAGTAGGTAGAAAGATGAAGTAGGAAGGCGGATCAATCAGGTTGGGTTCAGGCCCTCCCAGAAACTCACGAAACACAGAAAAAGCATATCACAGATTGCGATCTGGGAATCCATAAATTCCTACTTTCAACGACTGACGGGTACATTCAATGACCTGCTGCACTGCCGATTTGCATGGTGCGGTAGCTCTTCCTCACCCACCGTGTTGCAGTTTCCTGCTCTGCCCGACAGAGTGTATCTGGAAGCCAGGTTACAGAAGGTGTAATCCATTGCCACCGCCTTCGTCCAGGTCGAACATCAAGGGAACATTCAACTCCACCAGCCCTATGGGGTAGGTCGTTTACTGCGACAGTTCTTCCAACCCCATTCTGGGTCTCTGAGCAGAATTACCTATTAGCAAGAGCCCCTCCCTTAGTCGACCGTCGGAAAAGCAATACAAATTGACGTTTCGGCGCAATCTGGGCCATGAGCGGATAACCCAAGATGGGAATGTGAGCATATTTCTCCGCTGCGCGCTCGCCCACTGCACGTACCAGCAGCAGCTGCGAACCGCTTGCCGGTGCACGCGCTCACGCACACACCACACACCGTGCTGGCTACCCCGCCGCCGCGTTGGGCCTGTTGCCCGACGAGGACCGAGGCGGTGCTGCCTGGACGTGTGCTGTCACGTGCGCTGGCGCCGCCTCTGCGCACATCTGCACGGGCCGCGGGCCTGCGGCACCTGGGGCGAGAGTGGCGCAGCTGGCGCGACTGGGCGCGCCTGGCCCGCCTGGGCCCCTGGGCGCACCTGGCATGCGCGGCGCGCCTCACGAGCGTTGCGCAGCTGGCGTCCGTGTTGGTTCCGCTGCCCCGCTGCTGGCGGCCTCTGCCTCTGCGGAGTGTCGGGCGCTACCTTTTGTGGCGGCAGGGCAGGGCGGAAGTGAGCAAGGCAGCTTGTGGCACTCTCCGCTTGAGATTCCCCCTCTCCCGCTGCCCCCGTCCCTGGGGTCTGGAAGGGGGGACGCGACCGATGGCAGCGTCCAATTTGGCACAACATGGCTCCCATCAGGCCTCTGATAGCCCAAGATGGCCTCCAATGTGGCGCAGTGTACCCCAAGATTGCTTCCAACATGCCTCAGGGAGGCCCAGTGGGGGCTCAAAGTAATGGCAATGGAGCCTCCCAAGAACGCAACCGAGAGGCAAACATAAGTGATTTACATAATGTGGATCAGTGATGTTAGTTACATCTCCGTTTCGCGTCCTATGGGTCCCGGAGGGCTCAAGATGGGCCCGATATCGTACAAGAGAGCCCCAAAAGGGGCTCGGGAGGGGCCCAAGACGGCCCCCAAACATCCAAACTCCCCCCAAGAGTGCTCCAAGAAACTGTATCTGAAAACATGAGTTAGTGATATGTTTAGATGTGGTTGGCGCCTCGGTGGGAAAATTTGGAGGACTGTCGGGCCAAGATGGGCTCATGCGCCTCAAGAGGGCCTCCAACAAAGCGCAATGTGGTCCAAGTCCGCCGACCCCTTGGGGTCACGGCGTGTGAGATGCTTCCCCCTCCCCAAACCCCTCCCCCGGGAGCCAGGTCCGGCCAGTTTGGAGGGGGGTGGGGGGGGGGTCAAAGGTCTGATCAGGCCCCACGAGGCCCCAGAGGGTTCCAAGCAGCCCAAACGACGGCCCAAGAGGCCCCCGAGACGCACAAAGGTCGGCCCAAGACGCCCAGGATGGCCCCAAGACGGCCCCAGAAGCCTCCCAGACGGCCCAGGAAGCCTCCAAGAGCATCCCCAAGAGGGGCCCCAGAGTCCAAAATCGTCGAAATCCGATGGGGAAACGTACATTTTGATCATACACGACTTTTCGGCCTTCACGGCGTTGAAGACGGCCCCAGAGTCCCCCAAGACCGCCCCAAAACGGCCCAAGAGGCTCCCAAGAGGCGCTCGAAACGGCCCAAGAGGGCGGCAAGACGGCCCAAGAGGCTCCCAAGACGACCCAAGAGTGCCCCAAGACGGCCCAAAGAGGGGCCCACGAGGGGGAGCCTGAACCAACAATCCGAGACTTCCGCCCCAAAACGGCCCCAGGGGGGCCCAAGAGGCGCCCAACAGGACTCATGAGTCATGAGGCCCCCAAGAGGCCCCCCAAGAAGCCCAAGAGGCCCCCAAAAAGCCCCCCAAGAGGCCCTCAAGAAGCCCAAAATAATCCCCAAGTGCCACTTGAGGCATGTAACTTCTAACCCGCAGCCCCGGCACCAAGGATCTCAGGCCGACAACCAGGGCACGGTGGCGGGATGGGCCGAAGGCCACACACACATATATATATATATATATATATATATATATATATATATGTGTGTGTGTGTGTCAAATGCCGCGGGCATCTACCTCGATCGAGAAGAAGAAGAAGAGGAGAAGGACGAGGAGGAGGAAGAGGAGGAGGAAAACAAAATAAAGAAGATTTCGTCGTCGCCGCCGATGTCTCACAGGTGTTAGTGGTCTTTCGACCACCAGAGGCATCTCCTCGAATTCGGCCTCCAGGAACCGTTTACGGTGCCGGGGACCACCGCCGAAAGTCCGGGATGAGGATCGACCTACCTGGCAGGTGCCACCCCTTCGCAAAGGAAGGAACACGGGGTGGATCGAGGCTCGAGGCATGAGACTCCTATTTCTTGGGCGCTCTCCGCCCCCTCTGGGCCTTCAGGAAGCTCCTCGTCGACACAGCTGGCTCCACTCTCGAACTTCTGGCCGGACGCATCCCCAGCTGGGTCTCAACGATCCCCGAGCCTATCCAGGAGGTGGAAAAGGAGGCCTGGGACAGGCCCCGTGAGGGCCCCAAGAAACTCACATAAGACCACGAACAACTTCAAAACAATCCCCTACAAAGCCCCCCCTTGAACCCCACACGCTACGCAGGACAAGGACAGGCCGAAACCCCAAGATTCCCCAGCGATCGCGCGCGCGTTCCGCGAATTCTGTCTTTCACTCTTGCTGCCACCCCAAGGGGTCGGCGGTGCGGCGTAAGCCAATGACTTGAATCAATATAGCCTCCATCACGCCTTCACGAGGCCCCAATCCAGCCCCGATGCGACTCCACGTTGCGCCTCGGAGCTTCCTGAGGACGCCCCCAAAATGCAGCACTTCTTCAAACACCTCGTGTATGCTCACAATCCAATTTGCCACATCGCCCTTTCGCTTCCAATGGGCTTCCGAGGCCTGGAAATGGCCCCGGGATCGCTGGAGAGAGCCCGAAAGGAGAGCCCTCAAAAGTCCTCCAATGGGGCCCCATGAACGGCCGAGAGCGCCCCACTACGTCTCAAGAGAACAAGAAAACGTCAAGAGGCGATTGTTCGGGCTCCCACCAGGGGGGGGGGGATTGAGGACCCCCCGTTGTGATGGATGTCCTCCAGGATGGCCCCAGAAATTCCCTCGGGACCCCCGAGTGTCGCAGGATAGTCTCCAGAGGCTCCCTGAGCGAGAGGCCCGCGAAGGCCCTTATGGCTGACTCCTATCGTCGCCGTCGCCGCGTTCCTCCTCCCCAGACATGCGACGATGCGACGTCCTGATTTTTCGGATGCAGGGTCCCTGGGAGTCCCGACCCTCTCCCCGGGGCCCGCTTTTCGTCCCGAAACGCTCGTTGACGGTCCCGAGGCCCGGCGAGGGACCCCCGAGGCCGAGAACGACCAAAAACCTCCCGTCCTGATGTTTGAGCGACGCGATCATGTCTGGGTCCCCCATCTAGGGGGAAAACAAACCTACCTCGCTTTTGACCACCCTCGCTTCCAGGAGATACCAAGCGATGCCAAACTGCAGCCTGTACTGGTCAGGCCGCTTGACGAGGAGGCGCGTGGTATGACTTGGTTTTGCCTGGAAGCGAAAGCGGGGTAGGTAATTCACGCTCTGACTCACATCCTCATCATCCTCCGCGACCAGACCCATCCGAAAGATCAAGAGGTCTCGTCGTGGCAGAGCCTCCGGGAGGTGTCGACAAGGGGGGCCTCGCGCCTTCGCGGCGCGCACAGGCGGACTTTTTGAATGCGCGAACAGCTTCCAGAATGGACGAGGGGTGGCTTTCGAAACGGGGCTCTCTCGGAGGCTGGGCGAGGGCCGGCCAGAAGAATGCATGATCTTTTGCCGGAGCTCCGCCTTAGCCGCCACGAGTTTTTGCCGGCCTTCGCCTGGCTTCCGACTCT